TGAAAAGGGTAAGACAGACCGAACGACCAGACATCAGTTTGTGTTGTAAACAATCCATCTAGAAATGCTTCTGGCGGCATCCACCTTACCGGCAGCTTAGCTCTTCCACCCTTACGGTAGTAATTGTTTCTGAAAGCACTTGCCTCATCACTTGAGCAGCCGAAAATTTCACAGGAATGAAACGCACTCATAAATATCCCTGGCCATGCCGAAGTCGCCTATTTTTGCTCTCCTGTTCGGACCCCTTTCGGTAAGGAGACAATTTCGAGCTGCGAGATCCCTATGAATGTACTTCTGGCGGTTCAGCTCTTCACATCCTAAAAAATCGTAGAACGTTCAAGGGAGTTAGAAAAATAAGAAAGAAGAACTTTCAAAAGAATTTCAAAGATAAAATTACCTATATATTCGCTATAATTATCACTTGGACAATTGAGTACGGTAATGAATTATGTGGTATGTTCGTAAGAAAACTTTGCGCTTTCTTTTTTTGGTTTCCCAACTGGAGACGAAACGAAAACGCACCTCGAGCTATATCTAACGAAATGTTCACTATGTCCAGCATACTGAGATCGAAAGGGTTTGCGTGTTCCTGTGAATAAATTTATGTAAATCTGAATAGTACAAAAGAATATAAAGATATACTTGTGTTGGTCGAGCATCTCTCAAGAACGACCGCAAGTCTCCACCTTCCATTAGCTCTAGGATTATTCGAAGTCGGGGAGGATCCCATTGTATCCAATGGAGTCGTACTATATTTGGATGATTGAATTTACTGCAAATGAAAATCTATCATCTGCTTTCAGACTAGACCTGACGGTGCAACAACTTGATTTGAGACTTACTGCATGAAAAGTGCTTCGAATGCAAACTCTCGCTGTGCCTCAGCTGACGTGCTCTTGTTCATACAAATTGTCTTCACAGCAAAAGCCTTCCCATCTTTTGTGTGTCCCTCATGAACTGTGCCAAATGCTCCTGTTCCAATCTCTCTGGAAAATAATTGGGTTAAAAGCT